GTGGCAGGAAAGGCTCTGGGGCAGGAGGGATATCCGTATGCCACAGGGTCTAGTTGTTGGCTGTAATATCCTGTAGGCTGATGTCCCATGTCTTTGGGTGAGCACTCCAAGGGCATTCCCTTCTTTCTCACATACAAAGAGGAGAAAGGAAAGTTGATAATGAGGATGTGCAAGGGTTTGGAGGCTGTAGTAGGCTTTTCTTTAAAGTCCCAAAATTTATGTCATCCCAATCTTCCAATAATTGTCAGTTTTGTCATTTTTTTAAAATAAAGCATATAGAGGTTGAGCCATAAGAGAGATGTTTGGAATCCCATTTTGACAGTAGCCAGCTAGTCTAAGAAAACATCTTAATCGGTGCTTAATATTAGGTTTTGGAAAATTAAGGATGCCATGAAGCCCACTTGGATCCAAATGTAGTCCTTGTTCCAAGATCACTCTTAAGTATTGAACCTGAGTTTTAGCACACTGCAGTTTACTTTGGAGACTTTTTGTTCTTTCAAGGGCAAAAATTCAATGTCTGCCTGTAGAGAGGTTTGAGAAGGAGAGCGGAGAGGCAAATCATCTAGGTATTTTAACAAAATAGAGCCGGTAAAAAAGTTTATACCATCCAACTCTGCCTTTAGGTTTTGTGGAAAACAAGATGGACTCTGTGAAACTCCAAAGCATTGTCATTCCAGTGTATTGTCATTCTTCCCAAGTGAAAGCAAAAAGATACTGGCCATCTTTATCAAATTGAATACTAAAAAATACATTGCATATATCAATTGTATTGAAAAGTTTGCTTTCAGTAGGAATGGATGTTAGTAGTGTATGAGGGTTAGGAACAACATGGTGCCAAGGAATAACAATGTTATTTATCACTTGGAGGTCCTGGACAAATTTCCATCCTTGGCCACTCGGTTTTCTCAGAGGTAAAATAGGGTATTACAAGGAAAAAGTGGAGGAGATAATGAGGCCCTGAACCTTGTAGTCTATTATGGGCTTGATGCCTTGAATGGTTTCTTTATTTATAGGATATTGATTAATTCTAGGAGTCAGAGGAGTTTTGAGGTATCTATTTGAATCTTTATGGGAGTTACAGTATGGACTCTGCCAATACCAGTTGAAGATTTTTACCTATAAATAGGATGGTGGCTGATTTAACAGGGGCAAATGATCAGTGTTCCCAGACTCAGCTGTAGTGGCAGAAGAGATGGAGCAAATGAAAGATGTTGAAGGGTCATTTAATTCACCTGGTTGGAGATTTTGATTATTACTGGTAAGTTTTAGAGTTATTTTCCCCTTTGGGAGAAATAAATTCCAGCATATATTTCTAAGAACTCTCAGACCAATAAGTGAATAGGGATGGAGAAACTAGGGAGAAAAGAGTGGGTATCTCTTAAAGGGCCTAAACAAAAGGGAATAGATTTAGAGACAGGAATCTATTGAGGTTTATTAGAGACCCCCAGTGTTTGAACAATTTTAGTGTTCCAAGGTAAGGGTTGATTTATAGCATTGAGGTTGAGCATGAAGAGCGTAGCTCTGGTGCCAATAAGGGCAGAGAGAAATTCATTTCCAAACTGGAGAGTTGTTTCTCCAATCCAACTAAGAGGGAAGATTGTGAAGAGCCCTTGTAATTCCTCAGAGCTCTGTCATTGGGAATTACGACATTGGAAAGGCTGGCTAGAGGGCACTTGGAGTGCTTAAGTTGGTAACAGTCATTCTTTTCCCAGATATTCTGGCTCTTTGCTATGATAGCAGAGACCATGTTGTTTGGGGTGTGTGTGTGTGTGTGTGTGTGTGTGTGTGTGTCGAGGCCTCCATTTATTGGAGTTGAAAATTAAGAATTTTAGCACTCTTTCTTTTAGGTGACTCATGTAAGGTGTGAGCCAGCTCCTTTTGTTCCCCTGGGAGTGGGGATGGAGTAGGGTTGAAAGTTCCAACCCTCCAATCACATGATTGGATCCACTGATAATCAGCCCTTGTTCCAAAAGTCACCTCATTAGCTTAACAAAAGACACTTTTATGGCTCTTCTCCCTTAGAAAATTCTAAGGGTTTTAGAAGCTTTGTACTAGAAATGTGAAAGAAGATCAAATATATTTCTTATTAAAAATCACAATAATGCCCTGCTTTTATTTCTGACTAATTTGAGTCTTTTGCTCCCCTCCACTGACCCCCCGCACCCATTTGGTTCATTTAGCTAAAGGTTGTCAGTTTTTTCCATCTGAGAACCAACTTTTGGTTTCATTGATATTCTCTTTCATTTTTAATTTTCTGCTTTATCTCTGATCAAATATTTTATTTACTTCCCTTTGATAGCTTTGGGTTTAGATTATTCTCCTTTTTTGCAGTTCATTAAGTTGTAAAGTTAGGTTGTTGCTTTGAGAGCTTTCTTGTTTCTTAATATAAGCATTTATAGCTATGAATTTCTCCTTTGTATTCCTGTATCTCATAAATTTTGATATGGTATATTTTTGTTTCCATTCGTGTCTTAAGTATGTTCTAATTTCCCTATTGATTTGTTGATCCATTGATTAAGACTGTCTAATTTCCACTAATTTGTGAATTTTCTAACTTGCTTTCTAACTTTATCCCACTGTGGCTGGAGAAGATACTTTGTATGGCTTGTATCTTTTAAAATCTGTTGAGACTTAATTTATGGCCTAACATATTGTCTATTCTGTAAAATGCGCCATATGCTCTTGAGTAGAAAGTGAATTCTGTTGTTATTTGGTAGAGAATTCTATATATGTTTGTATGTCTGGTTGATTATTTGTTCAAGTCCTGTATTTCCTTACTTCTGATTGTTCAATGCATTATTAAAGAGAGGGTATTGAAGTCTCCAACTATCATCGTAGAACTGTTTATTTCTCCCTTCAATTCTGTCAATTTTTTCTTCATATATTTTGATGCTCTGCCATTAAGTATTTCAATGTTTAACATTTTTATATCTTCTTGCTGGATTGAGCTCTTTATTAGTAATGATCTTTGGGGCACCTGGGTAGCTCAGTCGGGTTGAGCATCTGACTTCGGTTCAGGTCCTGATCCCAGGGTCCCAGGGATCAAGCCCCACATGGGCTCTCTGCTCAGCTGGGAGTCTGCTTCTCCCTCTCCATCTGCCACTCCCCCTGCTTGTGCTTTTTCAATATCTCTCTGTCAAATAAATAAATAAATAAATAAAGTCTTTTAAAAAAATAATGGCCTTTGTCACTTATAACCCTTTTTGATTTTAAAGTTTATTTTGTCTGATACTAGTATAGTCACCCCTTCCTGCTAGTGATTACTATTTTCATGGAATATTTTTTTTCGGTCAGCCTATTTGTGTCTTTACATCTAAAGTGAATCTTGTAGACTACCTACAGATGGATCATGTATTTATTTATTTATTTATTTATTTATTTATTTATTTTTAAAGATTTTATTTATTCATTTGACAGTCAGAGATCACAAGTAGGCAGAGAGGCAGGCAGAAAGAGAAAGGAGGAAGCAGGCTCCCTGCTGAGCAGAGAGCCCATGCAGGGCTCAATCCCAGGATCCTGGGATCATGACCTGAGCTGAAGGCAGTGGCTTTAACCCACTGAGCCACCCAGGCACCCCTGGATCATGTATTTAAATACATTCTGCCAATCTCTGTCATTTGATTAGAGAACTTAATCCATTTATATTTAAAATAATTATTAATAAGAAAGGCCCTAATTTTGTCATTTTTTTCTGTATGCTTTATAGATTGCTTGTCCCTCATGTCCTGCATTACTATCTTCTTTTGTGTTTATTTGATTTTTTGTAGCGAAGTGTTTAAATTCCTTTTCCATTTCCTTTTTTTTTCCTTTTCTTTTTAAACTGGGTTTGTAGCAGGACTTGGGGAATAAGGTGGAAATCAAATATGAGATGCCTATTAGACATACAGATAGATATCAGCCAAGTAGTTGGATACATGGGTCTGGAGTTAAGAAGAAATATCTAAGCTTGAGTTATATATTTGGGAGCCATGAATGTATGGTTGATATTTTAGGATCTCAAGGGAATGAATGTGAAGAGTGAAGACAAGAGAATCAAGAATTGAGCCCTGGGGAATGCTAGTGTGAAGAGATTCCAGAGAATTGGGGGAGGGATCACTAGAAGATCTAAAACACTGCTGTCTTCTTTGTACTTTCAGATAGTTCCAGGCCCTCCAGTAATTAGGTTTTGTTGTTTTTATCTCCCTCCTATATCTTGGTGCATGGGACTGTTGGAGCTCTGAGAATCCATACATACCAGGAAATGATCTTTCATCTCCGCTCTATGGCACCTCTTTGTTTTATGTTCTGTCACTTCTGTGCTTCCTAGCATCTGGGCATTTATATTGATGATTCCAGTGTCATTATTCTCCCACTTCTGGTACAGCAGTCATTTCCTTTTGTGTACATTCTTTAGCTATATTTTTGTGGTAACCATGGGGACTGCATTTAACATCCTAAAGTTATAACATTCTAATTTGAATTCATACTAGCTTAACTTCAGTAACATACAAAAACTCTTTAACAACTCCATCCCACCCCTTTCAGTTGTTATGTCCCAGAATTACATCTTTATACCTGTTGCACCCAAACAGAAATGATTTTTTAATGCATTAACCTGTTAAATGTGGAGTTACAAACTAAAGTTACAGTAATATTAGCTTTTAAGTTTATAGTAGTTTTTAAAATGTAAATTTTTTAACATTTCTAAAATGTGTTTTTTAAATGTGTTATTTTAATATACTTTGTAAATAACTTTAAGAGATTTAAATCTCTTAAATTATAGAAAACAAAAAGTGGACTTACGCCATTGTTAATAGTGGCTTTTAAAATTGCTAATGTAGGGGCGCCTGGGTGGCTCAGTGGGTTAAGCCGCTGCCTTCGGCTCGGGTCATGATCTCAGGGTCCTGGGATCGAGTCCCGCATCGGGCTCTCTGCTCAGCAGGGAGCCTGCTTCCCTTCCTCTCTCTCTGCCTGCCTCTCTGCCTACTTGTGATCTCTGTCTGTCAAATAAATAAATAAAATCTTTAAAAAAAAAAAATTGCTAATGTATTTTTTATCTTTACTGAAATCTTTATTTCTTCATATGTTCTTTCAATTAGCAATAATCGCGCCTCAGATAAACCTCATTGGCTGCGATACTGCCACTGCTCAAAGCTATTTCTTCATATGTTCTTAAAATTGTATGTTCTTCATATGTTCTTCATATGTACATAAATGGTCCACTGACTTTTCATTTCAACCTGAAGGATCCCTCTAGCCTTTCTTGCAGGGCAGCTCTAATGATAAACTCTCAGCTTTTGTTTATCTGGGAATGTCTTAATTTCTCCCTCGCTTTGGAAGGATATTTTTGCCAGATTTAGGATTCTTGGTTTAACAGGGTTATTTTTTCTTTTAGCAATTTAAATATATCAACCCACTTCCTTCTGGACTCCAAAGTTTCTGATGAGAAATCTGCTACTCCTCTTGAGGAGTTCTTGTATGTGATAAGTTGCTTCTCTCTTGCTGTTTTTCAGAATTCTGTCTTTTACTTTGGATAGTTTGAATATATGTCTTAGTGTGGGTCTCTTTGAGTTTATCCTACTTAGGATTTGTTGTGTTTTCTGGATGTTTGTATTCATGTGTTTCATCAAATTTGGGAAATTCTCATCCATTAGTTCTTCAAATACTCTCTTTCTCCTCCTTATGGAATTCCTATAACTAATGCATAACTTGGTCCACTGGATGGTGTTCCACAGGTCCCTATGCTTTGTTTACTTTTTTTCAGTCTTTTTTTCTTTCTGTCCCTCAGATTTAGTACTTTCCATTGTCCTATCACTTCAAGTAAAGTGATTCTTTCTTCTGCCTGTTCAAATATGTCTTTTACTCTCTAGTGAATTTTTTGTTTCTCTTCTACTTTTCAGCTCCAAAATTTCCTTTTGGTTTCCTTTTAGGCTTTCTATCTTTTTATAGATATTTCCATTTCATGCCTTCATTTTCTTGATTTTCTCCAAGTATTCCTTTTGTTCTTTGAGCATTTTTAAGAAAGTTGTTTTAAAGGTTGTGTGTAGTAGATTTACCATCAGGTCTTCAGGACTAGTTTATCTTGTTATTCTTTTTTCATTTTGGAAAATCTGTACTTTCCTGTTTCTTTGTATGCTTTCTGATATTGTTGTTATATTTCAGTCTAATAATGTAGTTATTCCGGGACTTGGATTCTCTCCCTTTCTCAGGATTTTCTGTTTTCTCTTGTTTTTTTTTGATGGTAGGATGTCTCTGTAGTAAAGATCAGCCTGAGTTGTAAATTTAAGGTTCTTCAGGTCTTTTTGACCCTGTACCTTCCCCTGGGCATGCAAGGTGACTTTGTAATTTCTCTTATATCTCCAGTTGCTTTTGAATGTCCTACTATTCAATGCCTGGCTTCCAAAAGAGGGGAAAGAAAAGTGAAAGGGAAAAAGATACTGTCTCTTTAAATACCCCTGGAAGTCACTTCAGCCATTTGGGCAGAGTCTTGCAATAATGGGGAGTGGTTGCAATAGTGGCCACTACCTCTTGGTGTACACCACTGTGATCAACAGCAGTAGTCAGTAATCAAAGCATAGATCCCTGATATTTGGAGGACAGGGTCCTTTTTGTCTACTCTTGGTCCAGCAAGCTATGTGTAAGGTATTCTGGGAACATGTAGACAACTGCTTGCTGTGGGGCTGAGGGGTGAGGGATAGGTAGATGTTACTGTACTAAGAGCTGAAATTGCCTGGCCTGTACCATCCAAAGATTTTTTTTTTTTTAAGATTTTATTTATTTATTGGTCAGAGAGCGAGAGGGAGAGCACAAAGAGGGGGAGTGGCAGGCAGAGGGAGAAGCAGGCTTCCTGCTGAGCAGGGAGCCTCATGTGGGACTTGATCCCAGGACCCTGAGATCATGACCTGAGCTGAAGGCAGACATGTAACCAACTGAGTCACCCAGGAATCTCCCAACCAAAGTTAAAGACTTGAAGTCGCAAGCCTTTAACAGACTCCAGAGTTCAAAATAGTTACATCAGATACATTTTGCCAGTGCAGTTGTTGTCTGGGTGAGCAGACAGATTTCTGATGGTTTTTATACTGCCTTCTTTGAGGCATCCTCTACAGTCCATTTCAGTAGATACATTATCCATGATTGTGATAATCATGCTGAGATGAACTTCATCATAGGAATGGCATAGGTAGACCATCAGCCCTGATCAAAGGGAAGGAAAGAACACTTGCAGTTAAAAGAAATGATATAATTAGTTTTTTGGGATTATTCAGCACTGAGAAATCTGAGCAACAAACATACAAGTGTATTAATTGTTAAAAATATTAATAAATTTGAACACATGTAAACAATATCATTTCTTTATATAAATGCTGTAATTAGGGGGTACCTGGGTGGCTCAGTGGGTTAAGGCCTCTGCCTTCAGCTCAGGTCGTGATCTCAGGGTCCTGGGATCGAGCCCCACATCGGACTCTCTGCTCAGCGGGGAGCCTGCTTCCCCCTCTCTCTCTGCCTGCCTCTCTGTCTACTTGTGATCTCTCTGTCAAATAAATAAATAAAATCTTTTAAAAAAGCTGTAATTATGCTTTTCTTCCAGAAACCTATATAGAGCCATGATTCCTAACTTGCTATAAGGTTCCTGTATTGGGGAAGGGAAAAAAGTTCTTTAAACCATTTAAATTAGCCTGAGAGTGTTCTAAAACTTCCTCCCTTCTTCCCAAATTTTATAATTGTGAAGAAATACTCAAAATTTGGGTAAAAGTTGCCAATTTTTAATGCTTTTTCAAAGTTGTATTTTCATAGTATGGTTACATTTGGTGGCTTCTGTGTTGATATTTCAACACAGAATTTTTTCAGTGTTAAATTATATATAAAGGTTCCTGTTTGGGGTGAACATGGAATGTAGTGTAATTGTTTTAATAATTAATAATTATCTTTAAAAATTAATTATCCTGGATTTCCTTAAATTTTATTTAAATATATAACACAATTATTTTTTGTCTTCTAAATCAATAAAATAATATTTTGAAAAATAAATGAAAAAGAAAGTTACCTCATTTTAAAACTCATATCTTCAACATTTAAACCTTATGGGTTGTCAGCCTGCAGGTAATTGACATGTCTGTTGAGAAAATAACAGTTTTGTGTATATATATGTATTTTTTTTCATCAATATTCCAAAATTTTGCTGTCTTTCCATGACCCTGACATCTCAGCCAATTACTCTGTAGAAGTTTAGTAACAGGACATGCAGCAGTTGTGGTGTCAGTCACAAAAATTAGGATTCAGTTCCATAAGCAGCTCATGTGAGAACCTATAGACCAGGACACAAATTAGAGACACAAGAGTTAGGAATGATTATGCCACTTTAATTACCCTCAGGAGACTAAAGCAGGAACAGAACAATCCACTTGACTTTAATGGAGAGATGGAGGGAAAAAAAAAAACCTACTATATCCTCTGGAAGCTGAGAAGAAATTGCCAGGATGCTCTGGAAGGCCCTAGGCTATCTCTATCTGAAAGTAAAGTAGTTTTCACTCTATCAGCAAATTTCAAAATGTGATCCATGGATTACCTTACTGAAGATCGAACTGTGGCTTCTGGGACTCTGTCTATCCCCCTATGTCTCCTGAATCAGAATCTCTGAGGTTGAGTTTCAAGAATTTCCATTTCTAAACAGATAGCCAGATTAATTTTTTAAATAGTAACTCATGGAGATAAAGCAATTTATAGTAAATTATATGCAATGACCTGCAGACCAAGATAGAGAACATTGTCATTATTCCAGAATGTTTCTCTTGCCCCTTTCCAGTCATTTCTCTTCAATATCCCAACTATGTTGAGCCCAGTTACAACTTTTTTCTATATATGTTATTTATATCTATTTTTGAGTCTCATCAAAATGGAACCTGTAATAGATAATCTTTTGCTTCTCTTTTCCTTCCCTCAGCATACTGTTTTTGAGGCCAGTTAAATTTTAGGCACACTGGAATTTGAGAACCAAAGCTCTCTAAGGTAGAAATCATCATAAGGAAGCCTGATGTTAGAACTCATCTGAAATAATGGAATTTTTTCAAACTACCCCATTTTAAAACCATCTTATATCTGAGGCAAATCCATTACGTGGTTGCCAAATAATTTTTTTTTAATTTTTTGTTTTTTAAAGTTGAAATATAATTAACATACAGTGTTATGTTAGTTTCAGGTGTACAATATAATGATTCAGCAATTCTATACATTTCTCAGTGCTCATCAAGATGAGTGTACTCTCAGTCCTCTATCTATTTCACCCATCCCCTAACCCACCTCCCCTCGGGCAACCACCAGTTAGTTCTCTGTATTTAAGATTCCATTTTTTGTCTCTTTTTACTTTGTTTCTTAAATTCCATATATAAGTGACATCGTATGGTATTTGCTTTTCTCTGACTAACGTATTTTATTTAGCATCATAATCTTTGGGTCCATCCATATCATTGTAAATGTTAATTTGAGCTTTTCTGCATTAATGATATCACTCAGACCAGCCTCCATGAAATCAACCACACATTTTCATCATCATACTTTCCCTATTCCTAAATTTATACTTTCTTCATTTAGAAATTCTTTGTGGAGAATTTTAATAGTACTATAATGACAGCCAGTCAAAATTTCAGTAGTATCTGGCTTTATATAAACTAGTCACAAGTCCAAATAACTTAGCATTCACCATTTGTTCTCAGAATCCTTTCAGCTTGATTTCCATAGGTATTCACTCAAGAATCCTAAGTAGTTTCTCAAAATGGGGAGAATTACACAATAAGAAAACAAAGTTGTAGTTATCAGAGAAGCGTGAAAATTATGATGGAAAACACCTATTAGACCACTTAGGTTTCAGCCCTGCTAGGGAGATGTTGGTCACCGTAGTAGGCTACCAAGTGTTTTGCTGAGTTCTTTGCTTAAAGCAGTTTTGCTTCAGCTATACTTTTGGCTTCTGTTGCTCTTTTGACTGAGACTTCTGCAATCAAATAATTGTTGTAGGATCAAAGTTTTACTAGAGAAGTAACCTAACTATTCCAAGTTGGAAAAACATACTTCTGTGTCACACTACTACCATGCTTCACTTATGACACCAGATGCGTGGGTTTTCCACACGTTAAGCAGGGTGTCCTGTAATTCATTTCGTTTC